CTTGTCGGGGCCAGATTCCTGTACAGAGCAAATTCGAATTTGCTGCTCCTGCTGGCCGTTAGCAAGAATGCAGGTCAAGGCTTTTGGGCACTGGCTTCACTCTTCAGACCTGGGAAATATTCACAATTGGCGAATATGGGATCAACTCAAAATAAACTATAAAGCTCATGTTCATGGTAATGACAGAGTGTGTCACCCAGTGCAACACTGTGGTTCATTTTTTGGACAACAATGGTGCTCTATGGCACAGAGAAATAGTCTATAACAAGCGTTGGCTGCAAACCCAATGCTTACTTAGTCAGATCAGTTCATTGTTCATGTTGACATTAACAAAAACATAAATGTCACCAGACTTCAACATCATTTAGCAACATTTTCCTGCTCTGAAGCCACAACCACTCTGCTGTGGTGCATCTTTCTCCAGGACAGTCTAATTACTTTAATTAGGTTGGCAAAGTGACATGTAAAGCAACCCACTGGTTCCAGTACAGCACATTAGTTGATTCCAATATTAACGATATTGTCCCCCTTAGTGGCGCTGCTGTGGACGCAATCATCCGCTGACCCTGTCCAAGATAATGGTGCATGACGCAAGGACAACATGACTTAAATAATTGCTTGGTAAATGCAGTGCAAGTCATATCCTGGCCAGACAATCACTCCTCAAATTATACCCACTGAAATCGCTCTGCTAACACTTTTTGTAACTGCTCAGTTTAACACTTTCAAGAGAAGAAAACAAATATTGTATAAACTAGGTCTCATACCTACTTTTACTTTTAACCTGCTTTTGTTTTACAGGCATTTTAGTTATAGTTTTTGTTTTATGGTATTGAACTGTTTACTTATTTCTTGTGTTATACAGCCGAATAAAGCAAAATTTCAGTCTTGACTGAGTTTTATCTGAAATGAAAATGTAAGCCCTTCTGGCAGAAAATGGACGTTGAGGGGACAGAGTTAATATTCATAAAGAGAAACGATCTACAGATAGAGGCCAGTTCTGCTAGAGACGAAGTAATACATTACACTGATGTACTGCTCATCACAGCGCCTATTGTCCTCCCACCTCGTACAAAACCCAAGCTCTGATAAGGTGTAAGCTCTCGTATGTCCTCTATTTGCAGATTGATCTAGCTTGAGGGTAGTCTGCCGAGCAAATTAAAATATTTAAAGTAATGTTCAACCGGAAAATGAAATGACTTTAAAGTGAAACCAAATTTGAGCAGAGAAGAGATGAGCACAACTCGCTATAATCTTCTTCAAATGAACCATGTGTGAATTCCCCTGCAGTTTTCGGTTGGTTTTTTACTCATACATTCATGAAGTGCCAATACAAGTGTAGAGCGGAAAGATGTGAGCTTTGTTTGCTTTGTCGGCTTATTTGTATGCAGAAGACAATGCATTTTGCAGCCCAGGGATCTTGTAAATGTCATGAAAATTAACTTAAAACTATATGCCTTCCAATTCCGATTACCAGTCTAATCATGAGTTTCAGCCTCCACCCGATGGGTACAAGGCCTAAACCAAGTATCCATGTACTGTAACAGAACAGGCTCATCCATTATAACAAGCTAAGCCTGTCATATGCAATTACCAGTAGCTGATGGTAATTGCCTATGACAGATGAATGCTGATGGATAGGTTTTGGATTCCAGTTCCTTGCTTCTCTTGTGCAGTAGTGAATACTATATTCAAACATCAGCATGTAGCGTGGCTACTGCTTCTGCCATGCACCATCTGCTTGGTGCTGTAATGATAACGGCATCTGATAGCAATGCACAACATTAACATGCCTCTCTGTCTCAACTGTGCAGAGTAACTCTCCAATCAGCCGACAAAGAGACAATAAGAAACAAAGATTGAGAAAAGAAAAGAGTCACGCAACAGGCACCGAGGGCCAGGCTCTCTCCCAGCCTCTCAGCTGAACCCAATAATGGAAACACGTTTGGAGACATTTCCACATTTATTTGGCACTGAGGGGCTGGATTATGTAGTCCTGATGCATCATTAGCTAGTGCAATTACAGCTCAGAGTGCAAACCTGGCGGTTCATGAAGCTTGGTCAAAAGAACGAAGGCAGGTGGGGTTGTTAGAGAGGGAGATGGATAGGCCAAAGGTTTTTACTCACACAGGCCTCACAGTTCACAGGATGCAGGGCTGAGAAGATGAGGTCGGGAGAATAAATGCACAGAGGAATGGGGGGGCGGGGGAATGGGAGATAAATTATGAGGAATCGGCACGTTGTATTTTTCACTGAAAAGGGTCAATGTTTCACAACAATCGTTGCTGCTGGTAAACAGGGAGGCCATGGCAGCCGAGGGGAATCTGTCAAGTTAACAGCTCACTGTTGCTACTGGATTGTGACTTAAATCCATGCTGCCCGGTGGAGGCTTATAGGGCTCTATGGTATCCCTGCACTGCCTTGGCTAACCCCAGATAACCCCATGCTACAACCACCCAAACACACACACTCAGCAGTGAGGATACCCATGACAACAGACTGAAGAGCTGCTTCCCATTTATTTTGCATTAACCACTAATGACGGCATAAACACTGACAACATATCAATATCAATGAGTAATCCTGATGTGCTCATGAATATTAAGAGCGGTACATCCTCTTTATCCATCTGGTAAGAGATGTTGACTGTCTACATGTCCATATTTATTGTTAGTTTGTTTTCTGGGTCTGGTGAAGCATAGGTACCGCAATATGATTAAGTATGATTTAAAGCATAATTTGATGCCTGACTGTACCCACTGATGGTGGTGACTGCAGCCAGTTTGGTGCTGTGATTATCCTTTAATTTAAAAAGGATTGAGACTGCAGATTTCGCAAATTCCCTACAAATTCCTGCCATGGCTAATATAAAACTTCTTCCACCCATCCATCCTTTTTTTTGCCACTTAAGTAGGTCAAATTCACAATGGCAGTATGCTAAGCCAAGTAGCCCTGATTTCTTTTTTTCCCCAGTCAGCATCTCTTGGGGGATCCCAAAGCATTTCCAAGCCATGTGGGATGTGTAATCCCTCAAGCATGTTCTGGGTCTGCCTGGGATTTTTTTCCCAGGTGGACAATCCTGGACTATCTCCATAGGGAGGCGCATAGGACCCTTCCTGATCCAAACCGCCTCAAAAGGCTCTTTTTAAACATGAAAGAGTCACCCTATCCCAAAGAATGAGCCCAGAAACGTTCTGTGGAAAAACTAATTAAAGCAGCTTGAATCTGTGATCTCATACTCTCAGTCACTACCCAGAGCTCATGACCACAGGTCAGAGATCAACTAGTAAATCCAGAGCTTTGCCTTCAGGCTGAGCTCCCTCCATAGTTGAGTATAACACCCACATTATGGGAATTCTGTACAAATTTGCCTATCGATCTCCATCTGACCCTCACTCATTAACAAGACCCCACCTGAGCCAGCAACTTGGTCCCAAGCTGAAGGGGGCAATCTAGAAGAGCAGTACGGCCTCAGACTTTGAGTTGCCGACTCTCGTTCACACCGTTTTATAGCCTGATGCAATGCAAGTTAGTTCACACTAGAGGTCACAGTCTGTTTAAAGGGATATATCATCAATTTTCAACTAGCTTACCATCTTTCCAGCACCCAGATCTCCCTGCTCATCTCTGGTTCTAGAGCTACTGCTCAAACTACAAATTGAACTGGATTTTTTTTATGCCTGCCACCACTGACACAAAGAGTATAGAAGCAGATCAAGAGAGAAAGTCCCCCTTTATCTGAACTAAAATGTTTTATGAAACATATTTTAGCATTTTCTAAAACTGTAATTTGAGATCATTTGTTACCAGCCGGCTGCCATATTGTTTCCTGTGCCAAAACGGACAGGCATGCATTACATTACCTTCCAGGAACATCTATTGGTCAGGTGCTAGGTTAGGTTTTCTACCTCTTGAGCAAAAGCAAATGCCATGGCCCTATACTCCTCAATTTACTGGTTATGCAGCAAGTATTTGTGTCTTTCTACTGCATAGACGGCCCAGTTTATGAAAAGACCATCATCACTTACAATATTCTACTCATTATTTTCATTGACGGCCAAAGAGTACAAATCTACTGACAATAGGATGGGGTGAATGTCATGTTATTCCATTGTGCATGGACTCTGGGATCAGCGCTGTTATGTACACAGCAACACAGCCTCTATTATGACTGCACTGGGGCACTCGTTGGAAAGCTACCATGGTGACAAAGCAGAGGCAATTAAAACAAAGTTTCTAGAGTGTAGCGTTCTGGAGAGTTGCCAAAGTTTATTAATAAATTACGTGGTATAAGATCAGTGCATAGACAGCCTCTCGTGCATTTCAGGCAGTCCCGGAGGCATTTCCAACATTGGTATCGGTATCGCCTGGAAAACTCTCTGCCTCAGCTGTGCCTTTATATTCTACTTAGAAAATCATCAGGGCAAACCCTTGGCAATGTCATTGAAAACATCTTCGACTTGTTGCTGTAGATGCAAACACAGCTCTCATTTTGGAGACCAATGATTGCATCCCTGGCACCTTGTATTCGTGAAGTCCTCCCTTACAAGACACCCTGTGGGTCATACGCCATTTCCAAGTACACAAAAACACAAATCAGTGGAAAGCTCCTTGACTCCTCCAGCAGTTTTCCAAGATTAAAGAGATTAAAGAGGTTCTGCGACCAGGATGGAAGCTGCACTGCTCCTCCTCAATCTGAGGTTCATCAATCGCCTGGAGCTTCCTCTCCAGTACCCTTACATAAGACCTCCTGAAGAGGCTGAGCAGTGTGATACACCAAAGAGCAGCAGTACACCTTTCCCCTCTTTTTCAGAGGTGCAAGCTGCCCCACACTGTCTCATCTCATTTCAATCATTTATTTTCCTTAACTTCACAAGAAGATTGTCTGCAAGTAAATCTGTACTCCTCTAAAGACACCCTAGAATTGCTGAACGATGAAACAAGTGAGGAAATGTTTAAAAACATGGAGCTTGACTGCATCAATTTGAGGAGAAACTTACTGTGCCACCAACAATCCTGCCCAAGGGGTACCAGGCCCTTTCATCAAACCAGTTGAGGAATTCATAGAAGCCATTCGTGGTGAGATGGTGCGTTGATCTGTAATTGAACCTGAAGCAACAGAGGAAAAGAGAAGAGGGCTGGCTGAGTATGAGGCAAAATAACAACCACACACAGAGAACAGACATCCATTTCCATTTATAGACCATATTTTGCCAAAATGTTATTGCTACTGACAGACCAGAAAACACTTAACTCTAGTAAAGAAAAGGTTATTTCATTTCCAGATTTTCTGAAGGCGGGCTGAATGGGTAAGCTGCAGAGACTTCGTCTTGTTAGAATAAGGAAGATAAAGCCTCCATTCACTATGTGCATCTTTGTGCTGATGCCAACAACTCTCAGGTCAGCCCTCGGTTAAAAAATGGAAAGATGAAGGGCACTCGCACATACTGTGGCATTTTTCAGAACAAAACCTGCTTATTGCACAGATAACTCTGACTGCAACCACTGGCATGTGCTGAGGTGACAAAGGCGAAAAGTGGGTCTGGTGTTGGAACAGAGAAATAATGACAGAAAAAAAAACAAACAAAAAGAAAACCCTGAGAATAAATATGAGGAATATCACAGCAAACAGGCCTTGATTCACACTGTAGCTGTGGTAAGCCGAGGGGGTTGGAACACTGTCAAGCAGCAGAACTAAAGAGCTGACACTGTTGAGAAGATTGCTGCCAAGGAGAACGAGGCAAGTGTTCAGTAAATTTTCAGAGGCACCTTCTTTGCTGAACAGCTCATTAATGTGGGCTGCTTTATGGTATGTTCAGAAGCCCATAGACCTCATGTAACACATCATGCGTAGAGACCCTATAGCAAGGCAGAGCAGTTTGCTAAAGGACAATTACTTGTTATGGTGGTCTCTAATAGAGACATATACCTGAGAGGACAGGCTTTCATGTGCTCCTTTACACACTAGAGAGACTCTTTGATTCTGACTGCATCGAGTATAATAAAATCGTCAGCCTAAAATGCTACAAAATAATGCAAAGTCATGTTTATACGTGATTTAGTTTTTACAGCCTCATTTCTTTTGTTTATCTTCACTCCAGCTGCATGTGTGGCTCTAGTGCAGCAGTAAGAGAAAGTGGAGGAGCCTAAAAATGCTGTTTTTACCTTGCCTTTATACTTCTTCAAATCATGCATATGCCATCCCAAATCTGTAGGAGTGTATTAGCAAAGGCACTATTGAGAGGCTAATGCTGCCTCTAACATGGACACATCACATTTAAAGGGCCAGCTCACCCTTAAAATAGAATTACATATTTTTCCTCTTACCTGTAGTGCCATTTATTATTTTGAAATGTATTTATTTTTGATGCTGTGAGCACCACAAAGCCAAGTGCCATCTAGTTCTATTACATTCAAGAGAAGCCAGACATCTCTATGGTCATTATATCCAACGCTCAACTCACAGCAAAACAATCCAGATCGATAAATAGCACTACAGGTAAAAGGAAAAATATGATCTTTTTTAATGTGGGGGAGTTCAAGTTCGCTATTTCAATTACGCAAAATAGGTAGATATTTTTACATTGATCTAAACTGGAATGTGCATCAAAGTGCAGGATAAAACAAATAAACACGCAAGTACCAGATTTGTATCTATGAACGTGCAGTGGTAGTTAATGACAACTTTTAGGCCTTTGACCTAACAGTCATCTAATTTTCACTGAAATATCTTAGTTTGTTATGAGACATCCTACAACCAACACAGACACCAACAAATAAATGGGACCTTCTTGGTCAAGGTAACTTTGAACAAATACATTCAAGTGACACTGTAATAATTAAGGCTATGTTAACTGTGAACAGGTAAGAAATGTCAACACAAACACAAGCAAAAACAGTATGGCCTCATAAAAGCACGAGGAACAGAGATGCAGTTTAGATTCTGGAGGCACTTATACAGTTTATGATTGTGTGCGTGTGAAAGCAAGTGAGGAGGAGAGGCAGCAGCAGAGTTGTCACGAAGCTGTTGGAGTGTGTGCCGCTTAAACTCGTGATAAGGCCAGTGCGTTTAAAATTGCTGGCATGAGGTGCAGCTCATTAATCATCACAAGGTGCCTGGTTTTCTACCGCCTCCGCATCGCACCTGAAGCCGGAGCTCTCCTCCCTCATGCGGGGTCTCCCATCCTGGCTCTTGTTTCCGGAGAGCACATGGTGGCCAGACATTAGTCATTTCAAACCCAATGCTGAGAACTGGTCTCATTTCTAAAAGATCCAACTTTTCCAAAAACTGATTTCACTGAAAACAGTTCCCTCTTGTCCGTGTAAAGACAAGACAAATTTGTTTATGTAATATTTGTGTCTTCTATACTGATAATACAGCAGTCAAGTTCAACACATTTAACAAAGTGCACCAAAAAACAAAAACATTTCCATGTAGTGATTATCCGGTAACAGAAACAGGGGCGTAGCACCAAATTCTGGGGGGACTAAGTAGATAAAGAGAACAGCTAGAAAGGGTCTCATAAGGTCAGGAAATGACATAACTGTACTTTAATGCAGCCTTTAAAACCAGGAAGACACATCACTTAGAATATAATGATATCCAGCATCTAAGATGATGTCTAGTCTCATATCACGATTCTGATATTGATATATTGCCCAGCCCTAAATGGAAAGCAATCATCTATAATTGACTTTTCAAAGTCCCCATGCGACAACAGTTACCCATCACATTTATGACTCAATGGGAGCGAAGCGATCGGGAATTTGATGTGCAATATTCTCTATCCCTTGGATGAAAACACCAAAAAAACAGAAAAGCATAACATAACAAGCATTGTGCCTCTTAAAGCGATCTTGAAAAGCTATTGAGGAGCTGACATGAGTGTTTATCCTTGTGGCTCCTTGGGCAATCATATCACTCAACAACCTGAGGCCGAGTGGCCTGAATCTGGGCACAGTACAGCCAATGACAAACAAACCATCCAGCTGGAACGAAAGAGTCACACAGAAATGAAAACACTTCTGTTGTACTTTCATCTCAGTTTTCTTTTTGGCTGGAAAAAAAAAATCACCTCAATTTTTACCATTGAAAAATCAGTCTTGCCAATCCTTCAAGCTCAATTTGCAATAACCAACCAAACTGCTCTTTAAAAAAATCTGATGGTGGTCCAGACAATAGCTTGTTCGCAACCATGTAACAATTGGGACGTATGAAATTTAGATGGGGGCAAGAAGTGATAATCAATTTACTGGGTGAACTGGATACAGAAGAATGTGACAACACTATAGGGTCTGATGAACCTACAGGTATCGTCAGAAAATAGAAACTCAGGTTGGATGTGATCCATACACAACAAAGAGAAGTACTTTTTCCCCACAACCATTACTACCTCGTCCTCTAGACCTCCAACGTTACTAACGTTACTCGCATGCCAATGAAAGTGTACAACAGTCTAGTGGATTATTACTATTTTGTGTGTGGTTGGGTCCACAACTCAAATGGCTGCTGTCTTGTTTTTGGCCAGGTAAATGTGCTTGAGGATAACTGTCTTTTATATTTCAACTGGTTACATGGATGCACAGCTGTCAGGCTAATGTTACTAGTTAACGTTAGCTAACTTTAACCACTATTTTCCAGCTACTATGTCAATTGAGATCTGGTGAAACGCCATTAAGAATCTGGGTTGTGGCAAAAAACATGAAGGAGTTGTTGCAGGACACATGAGTCATATCTGCTGGTGTTTCCAAGTGAGTTTTTGGCCCTTTTAACACAGAGATCGCACTATAGGGACGCTACGAAGTCCCTTATTTAAGCAGTCTTTGCATTTTCACACAGAATCAAACAATCATCATGCCACTCCAGTGTGTGATTTTAGACAGCATGCCAGCATCTCGGACGCAAAAGAGCCACGACTGGCGTGACATCTAACAAAACAGCATCAGCCTCTAGTGTGATATATAACATATGCATCGGCAGCGCTTTATACACAATATCAATGGCCTGAACATGGCTGTAACAATCATTTACCATCTCTGTTATGGAAGCTGATCTTATCCTCTGCTCAGAGAGTAAGGAGCTGCCAAATCTCATTGTTTTCCCAATTTGGAGAATTTTTTGGCCACTGTTCATCTTCTTTGAGTTAGCTGCTAATTGCTACCAGATTCTTTTTAAATCTCCCATGGTGGGTCGCACGTCAAACAACTCGGCAAAACATCACACCTGTGTCGCCCATGATGCCGGCTACCCTGTTTATACTAATGTCATTTCGGTGCTGTTATTGCTTCTTATGCCGGTTTAAAGGCGAGACAACTCTGTCCAACCATTCAGCAATTGTACTTTTTATACAGAACAGCGAGGCGACATAACGGCGTAAAATTCCTGCCTTTAAGAGGCAGTGTAAGAAGAGCTTTTGTTTTTACTTCTCCCTTTTATGTCCTCCTTTCAGGACTTACAGTAGCCCTTGTTTTTTTTCCCAATCTAATCGACTGAAACAGCCGTGAACAGCACAAATCACAGGCATTTGTGCAGTGTTGATAGTCTTTGCCTCCAGTTGCTCTCGATCTGGACAGCACACTGATGTATGACATCTTATGCAAAGGAGCTACACTTTTGTTCTTCCATTCTCTGAGTCTACTTCCTTAAACACTGAGGTGTGCAAAGAACCATAATGTTACAAAGTGCAAAGCCACTGAGGCAGCCAGGTGTGACAGAGTTCTACCACAGTGGGACTGTCATTGCAGGTGGAACCGTCCAGCCACTTTCGCCTTATTGTTCTGCAGCTGTCAAATCTGTGAGGCAGAAACAAAGCGAATTCAAAGAAAGCATTCTAAAAGACAACTCTGCACGCTGCCAAGCCATATCCACAAAACCCATTTTCCAATGATCTCATGGACAGCCGAGCGGAGTGCTTTATCCCTGCCCTTGTCACGTTGATGGGGCGGATAATGTAGCTCTGCCAGGCACATTAGCAATTTAATGCATAGCTGCCAATATGGTCTCAGGCCACAGAGCACATGATGACTAGTGATGCCACTGCAGCACCTCCAACCACCAGCAAGTGAGCAGCACACTGTTAATACCATAAAAAAAATGAATTGGACAGATT